TATCCTCATGATTGCGGACTGCGGGAGACGTTCGCGATTTAGCCGCGGCCGTGGGTGACGGTGATCTATCCTCATGATTGCGGCCCGCGGGAGACGTTCACGATTTAGCCGCGGCCGTGGGTGACGGTGATCTATCCTCATGATTGCGGACTGCGGGAGACGTTCGCGATTTAGCCGCGGCCGTGGGTGACGGTGATCTATCCTCATGATTGCGGACTGCGGGAGACGTTCGCGATTTAGCCGCGGCCGTGGGTGACGGTGATCTATCCTCATGATTGCGGCCCGCGGGAGACGTTCACGATTTAGCCGCCGCCGTGGGTGACGGTGATGTATCCTCATGATTGCGGCCCGCGGGTGACGGTGATGTATCCTCATGATTGCGGCCCGCGGGAGACGTTCGCGATTTAGATGTGGCCGCGGGTGACGGTGATCTATCCTCATGATTGCGGACTGCGGGAGACGTTCGCGATTTAGCCGCGGCCGTGGGTGACGGTGATCTATCCTCATGATTGCGGCCCGCGGGAGACGTTCACGATTTAGCCGCCGCCGTGGGTGACGGTGATGTATCCTCATGATTGCGGCCCGCGGGAGACGTTCGCGATTTAGATGTGGCCGCGGGTGACGGTGATGTATCCTCATAATCGAATCCCGCGGGAGACGTTCAAGAATTAGCCGCTGTAACGAGTGTCGATGATGATGTCCCCGTGATTGCGGCTCACGGGAGATGTTAACGATTTCGCCGTGGCTAAAGGTGTCAATGAGGATGTCCCCGTGATGGCTTCCCGAGGGGGATGTTTACGATTTGGGTACGGCCGCGGGAGACAATGATGATGGTGATCGCAGTCCACGGGAGATGTTTTTAACACGACTTTGCCGCGATCGCAAGTGTTGATTTTGGGATGTCCCCGTGATTGCTGCTTTGCGGAAGATGTTAACGATTGTGGCATGGTCGCGAGTGTCGATGATGATGTCCATGTGATTGCGGCCCGCGGGAGATGTTCATTATTTTACTGCGGTCGCAGGCGACGGTTATGATGTCCTCAAGGTCACAGCTCACGGGATATGATCAATATTTCACCGTGGTCGCGAGTGTCGAGGATGATGTCCCTTTGTTGCAGCCCGCGGGCCCCTATAAAAAAGTAATTTCTGGCCATATATGGCCATATCAAAATTCCATATATGGTTTTATAAAGCCATATATGGGTTTTGATGAGCATATATGGAAGCATATATGGCCAGATGTGGTTGTATCCATATATGGTGGTGTCCATATATGGCCATATGTGTAGTATATATATGGAATTATTGTTCATATATGGCCATACATGTTTTCGATATATGAAATAATTGTTCTTATATGGCCATACATGTTTTCTATATATGAAATAATTGTTCATATATGGCCATACATGTTTTCTATATATGAAATTATTGTTCATATATGGCCATACATGTTTTTTATATATGAAAATATTGCCCATATATGGCCATAAATATCCTCCATATATGGAATTATGGTCTATATATGGTCATATATGACTCCCAGGTATGAAATTAAATTACTCATATATGGAATAATAATTTTCCATTTATGCTCATCTATAAATGAGTTTTTGACAATAATTGGAATTATTATAAGGGATTGTTGCCACTTTAGGATTATGTAACTCTCAAACTCCCAAACACTTCTTATAATATTAAAAATCTAAAGTTTATCAGTTTGTGTATTTTCTTGTTGCTCTCCAAGCACAAACTACTTAACTGATTGAGTTGATATGTGGTACAGTAAGGGGGCAGATAATATAGGCAATTCTCCTTTAAAGTAATTATTAGTAAAGAAATAAAATATCCAGATTTGAACCCTGATGACAAAATCCTGTACATACATCTATTGTACAATTTTATTATAACGCAACAAAATCTTAAAACTGACGTATAATTTTAAAATTGTAAGTGTAGTAGGCCTAAATAAGGAGAATATTATATTAATAATTAATTAATTGTACCTTTGCTATCAAACAGCCTCAAATATCAATGTCACGTAGTTAGGCTATATTGATAATAACATTCTTCAAATGACATAAAATGTCTAAGAAAAATCTTGTTTTACGAGACTAAATACAGCTTCTCTTATTCGTAATGGGTTTTGATCATCCACATGATATGAAGCAATCGTGGTGTAGTGGCTAAGGGGGCAGACTCTCACGCCGGAGTCCCGGGTTCAATTCCCAGTCAGATGCTTAAAAATTTTGTTTTGAAATTTTTGAATTTAAAATTTTTATTATAGTTTTAATTTATAGTTTATACCATTTAAGGTAAAAATATGTTTAATTGTTATTTTTTTATTTATTTATATATTTTTTATTAAAAAATTCCATATATGGAGGATTCCATATATGATCATATCTGGGGGATTCCATATATGATCATATCTGGTTGTATTTGGTCCAAAACCAAATATAACCGGATAAAAAAAATTTTATATGGCCATATATAAACTTTTTCATAAGGGGGGGAAGATTTTGCCCTTTGTTGTTAAAGATTTAGCCGCGGTCACGGATACCTATGATGGCTTTGACTTGGTTTAGGAGAGATGTTCACGATTTCATCCATGATCACGGGTGTCAATGATGATGCCCCTTGATGCATAGAAGATATTCACGATTACTTTCGCGATCGCAAGGAATTTCCACCACAGGGGGAGGGCCGCTCAAGTAATTTGGCCTAGGGCCGCAAGTACCCTAAATCCGGCACTGGATAGGTGGTGCTCCCGTATTATGTTAAATAACGCCCACCTCTAGTGCAAGCGGCAAACACTGTGTGGACGTTCTTATCTCACAGAGCACAGGGTCTTCCTTCACCATGTTTATAACAGAACATGTTTAGTACAGAACATGATGGCGGAGGGGTTAGGAGAATAGAGTAGAACACTGACATTATGTCTCTTCTGTCTGTAGCTTACTTCTCTGTGATTATCTGGGTGGCAGGTAAGATGTATGCAAATTGTATGTTTACCTAAGTATTCAAGTGAAATTCACTAAATAAAATTGTATATACTATGTTTGAAATTGTATTTAACCTTTTTTACTATTTATTTATAAGTGGTTGGAATTCAGCATTCAATTAGTGTTTTTTTTTTTTGGTTAATGACCTGCGTGCATTATATATGCATGGTAAAATCTAAATTTAATTGATTTATTGCATTTTATTGACTACATTTACAACCTTCCATATTGTTTGATTGTTTTAAGCAACTGTAACTTGCGTATTGTTGAGAATTACTAATACTTTATAAAACCAGCCACATTGTATTTTATGCATTATTTTGAGTAATTATGAAATGTAAATAGTTTTATTTTTAATGGTATATACCTACTTGAAGAACTGATCTATCCATTATTTGCTGTTTGTATCCATTATTCAAATAACAAACTTTTATACAAGGTTTTATTTCAAATATAAATAATTGTACACAAGATCATGTTTTCTTTGTTATTTTGTTACTACTATTTCATTTACATCTTTGCCCTTCGCCCTTACTAATTTGAAAGAGTGTGAGATTTATCTTTTTCGTAAAGTCACCCGACAAAGTTGGCTTCCTTGTACTGTTTATAGTACAGAAAGCTGCTGATTGCTGCATAATTATACTTTTCCTACAGTTACCTAACAATGTACATGTTCTCTCACTGATTTGAGAAAGCAAAGTGGCCAATTGGCTCATCAGTGAGACAATCTTATCATTGTCTCACTCACTCATGATTTGCAACGTGAAGGCACGAAATAGTGAGCGCATAACATGCAGATAAGGTTGCGCAAAATACGTTGGTAGCACAGGCTGTAAATCAGCTGTTGTACTGTTGTATCATTAATGTAATATTAATATTAAAAGTTCACTTCTGTTTAAAAATATGTCACGTTTCTTTACCAATTTATTTGTTTTATGGTATAGGAAAAATATAATGTGCAACTCGAGTGCAAAGTGCAATTGCCTCACTCGAGAAACCATTCCTCACTCACCTACGGCTCGTGAGTAAGTATTTCCCTCGAGTGAGTCAATTGCTCCCTTTGCTCACTAGTTTCACAAATAACTATTGTCGTACGGTTTATACTTTGTCGTACGATTTATACTTTGGTGCACATCAGGATTCCAATGAAACAACACAAAATAGTGTGGTTCTATTATGCACGTAATTCGTGTACACTTGGAAATAGGTTGGCATCACTTAAAGATAATAATACTATGAGCAGCTGATTGACTATTATAACTACGATTTAACCAGTAATTTTGTGTTTATAGTTTATGTTCTCTTTTTGGTACTTCTGGACTTTTCTTTTAAACGTTTGTAAAACATTCCTACGATCTTAATAAACAAGAAAATACCTTTAAAGCATTTTTTAGGCGCGGAAACCACTGCAAATTACAAAAATATACGGAACTATTTTCTCAGGTCGCTGAGCACATTGCTTGCCGAGGAAAAAATAGCGGAGTGATACGGACCGGGGACTACTTTCTTTAGGGCACCTATTTGTGTTGCCAGCTGAACCTAAAAACGTGTTGTATAGTGTTTGAAAGACCAATTATTTATATGCTTTATAGTGACTGTAGGAAAAATATAATGTGTAATACGAGCGCAAAAGGCCTTTGCTCACTAGTTTCACAAATAACTATTTAATGTTGAATTTTGTTACAATTAGCTCCATAGAAGCATGGACATGACTCGTTTATTGCCACTGACGTAAAATGAAAATCTTTGAGGTTTTTAAAAGTAAAGAAAACCTGAATTAACCTAACATATCAAAAAAGTTTAAAAAGATGGAAGGGTGCCAAGGCTTATGTTAAGTTATGATAAGTTCTGAGACTTAACTTTCTTTTACTTCACACACAGAATACCAAATTTCTTGATTCAAATGATTCTTTATAAGAATAACTTTTCTTTAGTATAACAGAATAATTGAGATCCTTTAACAGGTATATTCAAAGAGAACATTTTACGGGTTGAACAAATTTAATATACATTTATTTTATTTACAATAATTCACAATAATAATAAACATTAATATTTTCAACAGAATTAGAATGTGAATCCAACTCATGTACAAAATTTATCAGGTTTTTATACATTCAGTGTCTTCCCTCTCTAACAGTAACAACGTATTGCTAGGGTTGTTGTACTGTGAACACTTGGCTTACAGACAAGGAGTACAAGTGCTGGGATATACATTTTATTATTATATTTTACCATAGACAAAAACAATTAAATATAGACTGACAGCCGTGCTATGGTTACCATAGGTTCTGGCGCACACCACTGGAAGCCGTGTAGTTGCGTAGCACGTACGCCGTAACTACATGGCGCTCCCAGTGGTGTGCGCCAGAACCTATGGTAACCGCAGCACAGCTGACGGTCTGTATTTAATTCTTTTTGTCTATGATTTTACTCAGATCCACAAACATGTTATTGGGGCTTTCAAATAATTATCTTTAATAACTAAATATAAATTCTCATCAGGCATGTCTTCATTCGATAAAGACCAGTACTGTTGTGAAAGAATGCACTTATTTAGAACAATCAGTCTCATCTCGTAAAATCTAACAATACATTATGGAAAATCTTTGTACTCATCATACACTGTATCCATTGACTCATCACTTAATAGAAGAGATGTTTTTTAACAATCCTTGTTTTGAAACGTAGAAAATATTTTGAATAGAGTTAATCTTTAAATTACTGATACCGTACAATTGTTTCCATAATTTATGAAAACTGTCTATTTTTCAAGAGTAATTAAAATATGTGGTAACATAACATTTCATTAATTGCATAAGAATGGGAAACTGCAAACCAAATAGAAGTAATATAAAACATTAATATAATATGATTCTATGTTAAGTGACTAGAATAAACATAATGCGTACATACTTGCAAAGTATTGTACTATATTGCTACATTCATGACTAAATAATAAAAGACAATATACAAATATCAAGGACACTCAGTTGCAGCATTGATTTATGGATAAACCATGAAGAACTTGAGATTTAAGTAAGGTAAATCTAAATTCAACAGTTGAAATAAATCTTTCAATAATACTTATAGTAATCTCAGGAATGTGATGTATTCAATATCCTATACAAATCTACAATAGTGCGAGTAATCAATGATTTCATTTAATTTACAAGTAGTGAAGTACTTACTTGATCTGTATATCGCTTTAGATTACATTTTGTAGAAAATTAAATTTGACTGTATCACTTCTTCTTCGAGAAAACTAAAAGATAGATAATACGCCTATTTACAAGGTTTCTGTAACTGCTATACTTGTACGCACTGGGTTGTTTTTGGTGTGAGAATACAGCTCTTCATCAACTGGTGATGAGGAAGGTCTCGGACTTTGTCGTCACCTTCAGGAGGTACGGACTCGACGTAGCCACTCTCGTCACTGTCTTCTTCTGACAAGGAATCTAAATCATAGTTTGATTTGACTCCGACCATTCTAAAGTCAAGCACTCGAGACGTAGAGGTATCTGAACCGCTAGAAATACTTTGAAGGCTTGGCGTAGAATCTTCCTCTAAGTCCACGTATCCTTTTTCTAGCCTGGTTCTACTAAATCTATCCAAATCGAGAACAGTCTGTTCCGTAATTTCTTGAAAAACTTTTCCTGTGATTTCTTGTAGATCAGGGTTGAGCACATTTTCAAACAGTTTTCTCCTGTTTTGCACCAGCATTCCAGATACTGGAGAATCTTTTTCATTGAGTTTATCATCCGACGACGAATTGTCTACCTGTTTCTCAAACATCTTTCTTCTATCCCTCACTAAACTGTTGGTTCTCGATTCTAAGCTAATAGAATCCAATTCAAAGCCATCAACTACTTTTTCAACGATTGAATCTTGTAAACTGGTTTCTACTAACTCTTCCTCGACCGAAGGTAACCTGACGCATTCCTCTTCTTCGTCTCTTGATAAGACCTCACACTCTCCTAATGTTTTTATACTGCAAGTATCATCCTCATGGTAGTCTTCTTCTGATATCTTGCTGTTGGTATCCATGTCATCATCATACTCTCCGTCTGTTGTTGTGTCATCGTCTTCCACGTGACTTTGCAGACTGATGCTCCTCTTCATCTCCCTTGCCAACTTCACAACGTCTCCTCCACTTGGATTTATTAAAACAACCTTATCGTCTATTTCTTCATTCTTGATGACTTCCTCGTCTATTGTTTCATTTAACAGGTTCATTTCGCTACTTGAGTTGGTGATTTTATTCTCGCCAAAACTCCTCAAGGCGTTGGTGTCGATCTTCATCAGTCTCTCGCTGAGCCCTCCACAGCTCATCCTTCTAGCCTTTTTGAAAGCGTCTTCTTTTGGACAAGATGGCCTCGTTCTTCTTACTGATCTGAAAAATTATTAACCATGTGTAGAATTAGACTGAGAAATTACAGGTCTTCACATTTTTACAACATTGAATACAACATGTTATCCGATTTAATTTTTTTAATTTTTTAGAATAAGAACTACCTATTTAATCAAACATGATAGTCTAAGACTTATATCTATTAGATCTTTCTATAAATAAGACTTGACGGTAATCTTCTTTATTTTGAGGTATTTGTTTTCCTCCTTTATTTCATAGCTACCGGTAACATACAATTTTATGGATGGCAATACATCAAATTATGGTATAACATTTCCATTGAGTTTGACTAAAATATTTAACAGAAGTGTGAGAAAGGGATGTTGCATTAGAGTTAAGCCTTTACAGTTCAGTCAAGGGACTAGTCCAGAAATTTCCAAATAAGAAAAGGTCCAATATATGATGAACAGTCTAAAAGGTCTCTGTACAAAACCATTAACCATTAACTTTCGGAGAACAAATTACACACAACATCTATATAGATCAGCAGAAGCTATTTATATTTTATTAAATTAGAACATGGTTAAATAAGCCTGTAATTCAATTTTCTTCATTATTTTTTGGATACTTTGATCATTTATGTCACATTCACATAATTAAGTTGTCAAAGTTTGGATTAAAAACAAGTTGGCTAATCAACATAAAACAATATGATTGTTAAATGTAACAGTGACTCAATATTCATTTTCATTCTTAAACTGGCAACATTTTGAACTTGGAATGGGATATCAACATCTATCAAAATTCAAAGCTGATACATACCTCCTGGTATCGCTGCACTCATCCTCCTCCTCCAGACTCTCCTCGATGGACATCAGTTTGGGTGCAGACTTTGACCTCTCCAAGGGCGGTCGGTAGTTATGGGACCCAGTGGACAAAAGGATCTTCCTGCGAGGCAAGGACGGGTTGTCATACACCGAGTTGGCCAATGACAGTCTTGCGTTCTGACGACTTATCTTGTCCCGCTTGAACTCCGTGAGGGCTTGAGCCAATCGAGAGTTGAGCTGGGTGACCATCCTTCGGGCCGTTGACTCCTTGGAACACAGCACAGCGTGGCATCTCAGTTCCTGCTTCAGCTTGCGTCCTTCGTGCCGATAGACCCAACAGAATACCTGTAACCGCAAATCCAGTCAACTTTGAATCTTGACAAAAAAGCATTGTGTTGTGTTAAGGCTTGCATCTTAATAGGGTGAATTTTATTGGTGCTGCTGTGAGCGAAAACCATGGAAAGAATTAATTTACTCATCAATTAGATTGGCAAAATGTTTCTACACAGATATAATTTGATTTAATAATGTTACTCCAAAGGAATAAAAAAACTGATTGACATTATGTTCCTCCCTTACATTAGATTATCAACATTTGGAAACAAAAGTAGACTAACCAATTTGACAATATGGTGATGTGGTACTTAAGTTACCACAGTACCAAAGTAGAACTGGTTCCTTTCTACGTGAATCAGCTGTAGCAATTTCTTTATATTTAAATTGAACATAGTTAAATGAGCCACTAACAGTGCTCACAGAGCTACAGTCAAAGTTACATATTTTTTTGATGTTATTTCTATACGCAGTATAAAAAGTTCTAAGAAGTTGGATTGGTTTAAAAGTTTACGTATTCAACAGAAATTAGTACATAACTTCTGTGCATTCTGTCAGTGGCGCAGTTCAACTATATTAATTTGTTTTTCTTACTGTCTACACCTGTGGAATTGTTAAGCGAGCAAATCTATATGTTTTGCGGATGTGCTGGAAATCAAACCTGCCCCTCTCCCACCAAAGTCCTGATGCTACTCACTAGGACAAAACACCATTTAACATGGAAATGGAATGTAGTTCTATAAATCGTTTAATAAGGTTTAAAATATTACAAGACATTTTTCAGTTGGGTAGTCAGATTATTTTTGTTTGCAACTCAAATAAGGACCAAATTAGAATCAAAGCATTACCTTGGGGTAGTTGGGTGGAGCAGCGCAGTAGGTGATGCGGTGACTCCAGTACTCCGTCAGTCCATGTTCCTTGGTGACAGCTTTCAGGCCAGCCTGTGTGATGGTCACCTTCATGTGGACATCCGCCTTGCAGCTGGACGTGTAGTTCTTCCACAACGTACACAGCGGCTTCTCCACACACCCCTCGCCTGAAACAAGGACCACAACCTTCAGCAACCATTTTAAGAACATTTGAGTACTAACAGTCCAGGGAGAAATGGTAGGGTTCACCTTCAAACCTGAAGGTTGATAGTTTGATGAGACTTGCAGTTTGCATGTGACTCGCCATAAGCCCAAGATATATTTTTGCCCCATTCATCCATTCCTAGCCAGGGAATTGTTCTCTGTTTTGTGCCCCCACCATCTTTCACCCCTGGGCCCAGGTCGATTTACTATGGCGGCATTGTGTTCGATCCCACGTGAGATTCTAAGCTTTGACGCAAACTGTCATTGGATTGTCAGTATGGTACTAAATAGAAGACCATGGCTTCGACTATTATCAGTAGGCAGAGAAAAACAAAAATAAATAAACTTTGCAAATGCAGTTTATTACAACTGATTGTCTACAAAAATCCCTCAAGATTGAAAGAAAATATTTGAATAATATTTGTTACTGGATTAGAACCACATCATTCGGCAGTGTGCCATGACATTTCTTTGTTTTGATAACATAAGCTACATTTGCTTGTACAGTTACTTATACCTTAAAAAAATCATTTAAACCATGAACATCGAGAGGAGGAAATTATCATCATGGTAGGATGACTTTCATTAAAGGTAGGACTACTGGAGAGGTAATCTCTGGCCTCAAAATCAATAGACACGTGACATTCCATCACTACTACCATAACACTTTATACTGCTTGTGTATTCATACCAAAACCAATCACTTGGATCATCACAGACCAAGCCATTCCCCACAGAACCCACTGTAACCTCGAGGTCCTCCTGCCAAGCGCTCACTACAACACCTGCTTTCACTGTTCACTGCAGGAAGTGGCTGCATTCTTGCTATTGTATTTTAATTGTGCAACCCACTTCCTAGCGCTCCGGGAGGCCGCAATCCGTTACGATGGTCAAGATAATTAATTGCTGATTTGATAACGGAATATCGCAGCCATAAATGCATCTAAATGTCAGCAGAGACTGGAGAGACGCCTGAGTTTGGTGGGTAAACGGTTGTAAAAGCCTTTAATTCAATAGCAATCCAATCCTGTACGAATTTTTAACGCAGATAAAACAATTGATTGGTCAAATTGAACCATCAAATCCAACAATTTCACCGATGTTTCAACAGACGATTTGAGTCTAATTTAATTTCTTCCTTATTCGCAATTCTCTCTAAAATGGGTGGGTTGTAGTGTTTCAAATTATGGTTTCATGCAGATGTAAGTTCAGAACCATCTTCGAAGCGCGGAGCTTTTACTCTATGATATTGGACATTCTAGAGTTCAGTAGCCGTGGCCCACTGAATCATTCTGATTGGTATCATGCATAAGATATGAGAAAAGTCGACGCCGTAGCTAGGAAATATGTTTGGACTCATTTGACCTAAGCAAATTTTCATCTAGGTTAAGCTAACGACATTATCGGTATTATAATTGAACCTAAATGGTAATAATCATCACCGTTCATCAGAGCAGAGATGTAAATCAAACTTTACGTGACCAAAATTGACTTCCTAGCAGCTGGAGATTGGCGATCCGCCTACAAAGTGCAGCAATGTGTCCGTCAATTGACTGAATTGTTCTTGACTCGTCTTCCGGTGGCCAATTGGTCATCGGCCGCCTACACACGCGCACGCACCTGCCGCGGTATCAGCTGTGTAGTGTGATGTGTGATAACAGTATGGTGTAGACTGACGGAAACGGTGATAGTGCTTGACGAATGACCTTGGTTGAACCTAGGGTCGTTATATTTTTAGCAATAAATATTTCATTTGTTTGTAAACATACAAAGGACTACCTGATAATGGTCAGTATTGTAAAGTTATCATATAATTTCATTCATCATTTAATTAACGTAAAATTAACGTAAATCGTCCAGACCAAGTGGTAAAAATATCATTGAATACATTTCAAGTTATCCATGGTGTCCAGATTTTAACCTGCATATCCCAAGATTTTTAATTATATTATCTTAAAAGGATAACGGGCGATTTCACCAGTTAATTTTATCTAAACAACCCATGAAAAGTTTTAAAACAAACTCCAAGAGTAAGACTCAATGGTTGTGAAAGAGTCTTCATCTCTTAGAAAAGTAGTCCCTTCTGGCTACAGTCCACATCAAAGCATGAAGTGGCGGGTTTGAGGGGAGTGGAATGAGTCTTTAGGAATATTTTGATTACCGTCCGCAGGGCTTTCATCCGCTAATAGAGACTGTGCAGACACATAATACAGCTTCTTGTCACATTTCCTCTCTATTAGCATTGAATATATACTATAGTGTTATAAATTCAATACTATTAGTGAACAGATGAAACTCTGAAAAAGTAACTGTCATATCAACGAAAATTTAGATTCTAACATAAATTCAATTGTACATAATATAGTTTATTTTGAGTTTCCAGTGAAAGGAAACCTCTCAAAGGGTCTTTAAGTCTCAAAGTCAAGGGGTTTTAAAACTGTATTCATTCCCATATATTTATGGTGTAGGGGTTGTTGTAGTGTTCTGAAAACTGCGTCCCTTGAGCCATAGCACAAAGAAAAGAACATTTAACTTTTTTTTCGTAGCGATAGTCTTTTGCGTGGAGGACTGGAGAGGTTAGGAGTCCCTCCAGAAAAAGATTTGTCGTAGCCACCAAATATCCACTATTTTGGTTTCACCCCCGAAAACATTTCATGTTACAGTTTAAACGCATATTCTTTCTTTCAAGCATCAACAAAAACCTTCAACCAGCCGAAACCATTCAACATTTGCTCAACGTTTGGATTTAATACCTTCACTTGTACTTTATCCGGAATCAAACCAGATTTGGAAGTTAACCAACCAGGAATCACACACTACTTGACACACACACGAGCTGTCAGTGTCACCCCAAGGTCAAGATGATCTCAGACAGACCGTGAGGACTGGTAGAAGGTGGAAGCGTTGAATATTTCAACAGAAGACAGCGCCCGAGGTGTAGGAAGAAGAGCCATCGCCATTGTAGCGCCCACGCTCCACACTCCTTGCTCCATGCACCAAGGTCGACGCTTTATACTCTATGTCTTTGTCACAACTCTGTGGTTTTGATAGGGTCAAGGTTATAATAGAGAGAAAACGTTCTATACGTTGTTAAAATAGGTTACAATAATCTTTGAATAGTGGAAGTAGACGGCTAATCCTATTGTAACATCTGTAGCGTGTTTTAATTTATGTTTCATGTTGGTGACGTTTGACTGCGCTGATGTCGACTAACTGTTGAAATATATTACAGCTTTACTATTGGACGCCAGTTCACAGGACACGACTACTTGCATTTTATACCACCGCATAAACATATCGCCTTTGAAGTTCAAGCGGCAAGTAACTAAAAATGTAATAGTAACATCGAATGTAAATAAAACTGTTCTACGTTTGAATGAGCAACGTTGATTCGCAGTGATGTGAAGTGAACATTCCCCTCGTACACCAATCAGCTGTTTACAAAGGTACAATATTGTATGCAGAGTGACAGTGAGAGCCGAGAGGACGTTTGGAACCACTGACCCGGAAACATCGGGAAAGCGGAGTTTTTCACGTCAATCAAATACATTAGCAACGCGCTTCTATCAAAGACGTGAAATCGGGGAAAATGTCCCAATTATACATACCTACCAATATTTATATTTTGTATTTATACAACCCTTAATTATTGGATGGCTTATTGTTATTGTTCAAATGTTAAGTTAATTATACTTCATTTTCACATGACGACATTGTTGTCATCCGTCATTTGGATTGGTGAAAAGTAAAACATAATAATCAAATAGTACAATTTGCCTTTTAATATAACTATCCATAGTTTGGTGACTATTGGTACTGTTGAGGTAATTATCAATTTATTGTGAAGAAGTATTGTTACATTTTGTCCTTTGGATTGGTGAAAGAAAGGTAAAAAATCTTATTAGGGGGTCAACATTTTTATTTTCCATGAGAAAATTTACCCAAAGACCATTTTCGGTTGACCATTTAGTTCATTTAATAGGTCATGGAACTTCACTGTCAGTTTACCTTGCGTTGTTCATAAGATTTCGAATTAACTTTATAACGTCCAATTAAAAATATTGTATTTACATAAAAAAATTAATCAAAGAAATCATCGGACTAGTATTTGTAACAATTTTTATACACTATAAAGACAGTTTTTTTAACATTCAGAACTAGTATGATAGCAAAATACGTACGTGTTCAATCATGTGCCAATTGGATCATGTCTGTATACAATAGAATGTTCCTAATTAGGATTTACAATTGTCACTCGCCGATTGTGTCTAATTGAGTAAATACCAGTGATACTGCCTTATACTATCACAACTCCCTAGCTAGCGGTAGTGATGTGTATACCGTCGTAGGATACTATCTCATCGACCTACTTAAACATCCGTACACGCAATTAATGTGGAATATTTCTTTTAAAAACTGGTACAAGGAGAATAATTAAACAAGTACTAACATGTTATAGCTCAACAGAATTGAAAAGCTTGGCAGCACACCTTTATAATATTCTAGTCAGCGCAAATTTTATAAATAAACATACGGAAAAGATTTGTGTTTTATGGAACTAATTGTATTTGGATTTTACTACAGCAGAACCAATGTAGAACACCACCTCCAGGCATCCTAGCATTTATTAGGATATAAAATCTGCTGGAGTCGTCAGTAAATTATCGATACGATGAAAATTCAATAACATTCCTTCAAAGACAGACTCCCGCCAATGTAGGTATGTTGCCGCCAGATCGGTCTGACATCTGCCGGTGAGACGAGGTGTCACTTGTCACGACCCGAGGTTGGGGTAAACATCCACAGATGATGTCACCGAGGTTGTGTCATGGCGGGGAAAGTAGCTGCAGACGACAGACTCCTATCCAATCAAGTCTACGTGTCCGTCGTCGCTAATTGTCCACTACGTTGTATTGCAGTAAGGATACAGATACAGAATGTGAATGGCCTCGCTTGAGTTGTA